TTTGTTTCCGTGGGAGACCAAGGATTTGGTCCCGCCAGTGACAATTGCGCCTCACTGTGGGACACTCTCTCATGGGCAGGGTCTAAAGTGCAACCAATTTGGTCTCATAGACCAGAATTTTATGGCTGTGATAGGAGAAAACTGAGGATGGATCAACAACATTGTAGTTACTCAATTATACTAACCTAATTGACAGAGTGAAAAGAAGGAGGCCTGTACAGAATCAAAATATTCCAAAACATGCATCCTGTTTGCAATAAGGCCCTAAAATAATATTGCAAAAAATGTGGCAAAGCAGTTAACTTTTTGTCTTGACTACAAAGTGTTATGTTTGGGGCAAATCCAATACAACACATTACTGAGTACCACTCTCCATATTTTCAAGCATAGTGGTGGCTGCATCATGTTATAGGTATGCTTGTAATCGTTAAGGACTGGGGTAGTTTTTCAGAATAAAAAAAGAAACGGAATGGAGCTAAGCACAGGCAAAACCCTAGAGGAAAACCTGGTTCAGTCTGCTTTCCACCACCTTTCAGCAGGACAATAACCTAAAACACAAGGCCAAATCTACACTGGAGTTGCTTAACAAGAAGACAGTGAATGTTCCTGGCCGAATTACAGTTTTGACTAAAATCTACTTGAAAATCTATGGCAATACCTGAAAATGGTTGTCTAGCAATGATCCACAACCAATTTGACAGAGCTTGAATAATTTTTAAAGAGTAATGGTCAAATGTTGCACAATTCAGGTGTGGAAAGCTCTTAGAGACCCTGGACAACACCCTGTCGTTCTCTGCAAACATCAAAGCAGTGACCCACTCCTGCAGGTTCATGCTCTACAACATCCGTAGAGTACGACCCTACCTCACACAGGAAGTGGTGCAGGTCCTAATCCAGGCACTTGTCCTCTCCCGTCTGGACTGCTGCAACTCACTGTTGGCTGGGCTCCCCGCTTGTGCCATCAAACCCCTGCAACTTATCCAGAACGCAGAAGCCCACCTGTTTTTCAACCTTTCGAAGTTCTCTCATGTCACCCCGCTCCTCCACACACTCCACACACACCGTGCAGCTCAGTTGGTAGAGCATGGCGTTTGCAACACCAGGGTTGTGGGTTCGTTTCCCACGGGGGACCAGTATGAAAAAAAAAAGTATGCACTCACTAACTGTCTGCTAAATTACAACAAAAAAAACTGGCTTCCAGTTGAAGCTTGCATCCACTACAAGACCATGGCGCTTACCTACGGACCAGCAAGAGGAACTGCCCCTTCCTACCTTCAGGCTATGCTAAAACCCTACACCCCAACCCGAGCACTCCGTTCTGCCACCTCAGGTCTCTTGGCCCTCCCACCCAGCCCAGTCCAAGCTCTTTTCTGTCCTGGCACCCCAATGGTGGAACCAGCTTCCCCCTGAAGCTAGGACAGCAGAGTCCCTGCCCATATTCCAAAAAACATCTGAAACCCTACCTCTTCAAACAGTATCTTAAATAATCCTCCTCAAATGTTTTCAATAATATTAATAATAACACTTAACCAGCACTTGCACTTGTATCCAGGCACTCCGCTTTGCGTTGTGCATAATTCTTTTTTAATTTATTTAATTTAACCTTTATTTAACCAGGTAGGTCAGTTGAGAACATGTAGTGCGATAAAAACAACAACAACACGGAGTTACATATGGGATAAAAAGAACATACAGTCAATAACACAATAGAAAAATAGAAATCTATATACAGTGTGTGCAAATGTAGTAAGTTATGGAGGTAAGGCAATAAATAGGCCATAGTGCAAAATAATTACAATTTAGTATTAACACTTGAGTGATAGATGTGCAGAAGATGATGTGCAAATAGAGATACTGGGGTGCAAATGAGCAAAATAAATAACAAATAACAATAAGAACAGTCCTTAGCCGTGGTATATTGGCCATATACCACACCTCCTCGTGCGGTATTGCTTAAATATAGCACACCCCCCTCGGGCCTTATTGCTTAATTAATATGTATGCTATGTGTAGTTTCAAAATGGTGCATATTTGAAACAGTATGATAAACTTTCATTGAGTCTCCAATATGGGATATATAGTTAACCCAGTTTAATCTCATATATCATATTTCATATTTTTATAGTTTCACTTGTATTGACAATCTATTTGAATTACCTCTTCAATTAAAATCATGAGCATTCAAATCTTATATATTATCATAGTTGAAAAAAGGTTATGATCATTACAAAAATCCAATCATGGCTTTATTAATCAGAATATGATTTTAATCAGATCTGTGCCTTTATAGAGTGCGTAGACGTTTCTTTGCTGCAAGACTGTATTTCTGACCTATTTCATGACATCCAAATCTTGATCGAATAGAAGTTTCGTAATGCTTAAGTTGTTACGAGTGTACTGATAAGTAGGACACGTGACACCCGGGCAACTTTGAGAAAAAAACACTTTATATCTGAGTTGTCGCCTTGCCGCTTTGTGGACAACGACTTCCATTGTGCGGAGAGACATGTATCTTGTCAGTATATCCATAAACGTTGGTCTAACTGAACTACCGCTTGGGAGGCATGGTTTCCGCGTATGGTGCGTGTTGTTACCGGACCAAAACCAAAAAAGTGTGAATAAAGTCAATATAATTTGCCTCACTTTTTGAATGAAATTACTGGTATAAACACATCAAATCATCATCACACAATTCACTGGCGACACTAAATCTGTTTACAAGAGGTTCAGAGGTCGGAGCTTCTCTCCTGTCAAGCATATTCCGCGTGATACTAATCTAATTGTCTACAGTAGCCTAGACAAGATGTAGGCAAGATGTAAACTGAACGATTTAGCAGCTTGCTTAGTTCAAATTAACAGACTAATTTATTCAACATGAATAGCGAGGCGATTTCGCAATAAGAAGTGCTTGTTTCCCCAATAGTCTGCTGGAATAGGCTACTGAGGATTTGGTCATAATTTCAATCACTTAATTAAATATTAATAATATGTATATGAACTGAATATGCTTGTCAACAACAGCCAGTGTTTATTTTTTAGAATGTGTTTTACCTGTAGCCTAATCTGACTACTGTTACCGTCAATCTAATACGTTCATAATAACACAAGGCTACAACAACAAACTGAAGTTATAGGCTATTTATTACATTGGTTTGCCAGCTTCAGGTAGGCTACACAAATGGCACAAATTGATTTGCAATGACTCCAGTGACATCGTAATTTCAACATATTGTAATGACCTGACTAGATCATAAAAGAACAACTGTCCAGACAGAGGATTGAGTTTACGAATGGACGGTTTATTAAACCAACTTTACACAGGCTACTGTTTGGCCGTAGCCCACGCCAAATAAATGAAAGATAACCCACAAGCCAATCGTGACCTTCTCTTGTGAAGCCCAGACGTAAAAAAGAGAGAGAACAAAGGCTCAACCTGGTCTTAACTTCCAATGCTCCATCCCCCTGCCCAACCCCCCTCCACGCCACTCCGCCAACCGCCAGGATGCCCGGCATCAGAACATTCCAGGCATTCCCGTGATTGGCAGATAGCAGGTTGATTGACATGTCGGACCCCGCGAACACTGGGTACTGGTAGGTACAACACAACCATCTACTAGCCTAACACATAACACACAGCTGTCTGTGCGGGTCGCTACAATATTTATTGTATCAAATGGTAGCCTACAATGGGCATATACATGAATAGGCTACTTGATGGCAAACAGAGGCAAATGTATAATTCTCCACATTTAGCCCAATGTCAGTTTCATTGAGGACATTTCCCCATAAAAAGAACCACTCGAGGGAGTTCCATAACTTACATTTCAAATGTCCACAAGGGCAGCCCCCGAGACCCAAGAACTGAGCATGCATAAGCACTTGGCCTGATACCGTTTTCTTTAAGCAGTCAACATTAGAATTCAGTTTAAACCACCTCCTAGCGGATTTATGTAACGCGCTCCAGTGCTTTGTCTCCATTATTTCTTGATGTTCTAGATTATTAATATGTTTTATGGAAAAATGTTTGGAAATAGGTGTCTCCATAATGACAATCTAAATAGCCTACCTTAACAGTGTTGCCAACTCCTCAGTAAAGAAAGTAGCTATTGGCTTCCTATAAATCGCTAGAAGTAATTTGCATAATTGTCCATGTGCATGTAATTGTGATGTACGCTGTAGGAGAGACATCGTGGGAGTGACAAAAAGTGAGTAAAAAACACACTACATTTACATCAGCCAGCGGCGGCTTCCTGCATGCGCGATTCATTTGCAGTCTGGACGCAGAGGGGTGAACATCTCCTGCTCGGACTGCAGCTGGGAGGGACTGCTGCGCGAGGACTGGGCCGCCTTTGAGTGCTTTGGGACGGGGCTGGGGCCCACGTCAGCACCGGCTGCTCGTTGAGAAGAGTAAGAACGATACGTGCTTTCACTTTAGAGTCTCCACAAGTCTCCAATAACACCAGAAAAAGTCGCTAGATTTGTCGCTAGTCGCTTTTTTGAAAATGTGTCGCTAGAGGGGTCTGAAAACTCGCTAAATATAGCGACAAAGTCGCTAAATTGGCAACACTGCCTACAACTGGTAAAAAGTTGTGACAACGTTCGAGCGTGCTGCTCTCTCTCTCCTCTCGCTCACGTGGCTCGGCCAATAACTGTAGCGCTCTCTCAACACACACACACACACCCTCCCCACCACTCACTGCCTCACAGTCAGGAGCAGGTCACAGTGAAATATATATATATATTTTTTTAAGAGAAATACCTTGAGAGCCGCGGTACAACTTAGAAATAGCCCAAAAACCCGCGACCAATAAATGTTCACCCGCGACGTCGTTTTCAAAGTAGCCCATAAAGCGCAACATTGATTGCATGCGCGAACACAAATTCTACAGCGCAGATGGCTTTTCACCCATAATTTTCGTTTGCAATATAAATTGACCGCTCACCCAATCCACTCAGAAGACGTCAACTATCATCCCCCGCCCCTTAGCAACAGAAGCAAGATGGCGGCGCCCAGTAACGCTGATCATTCTCCCGAGATATCGACGCCGTTAAAGATACCGAAAACAGAAGTGCCATCACCAGAATCGGAAGATTTGAGCGACAGCAACCAATATCATTCCAATCCCTCCACACCTAATCGTTTCTCGCCTCTCAACGTAGGTTTGTCGATTTCTGGGAGCGCAGGCCGAAGTGTATCGGCCTGTGCCTCAAATAGCTTCACAGCTTGCCGAGGGATGTCGTGGACCCCATCCGAAACAAACGCCCTTATTGCGGTGTGGGGCAATGAAAGACTGACGGAGGCACGAATGCAGCAGCTGGAGGTTGCAGGCACCGTTTTCTCTGGAAAGGCTCCTGGTCCCGCAATGTACGAGCGGGTCTCACGAGCCCTAGCAGAGCTCGGCTACGAAAGGACCCCATCCCAATGCAGGGAGAGGATGAAGGTAATGGGGGACAGAGTAAGCATGTTCATCTATCACATAGCTAGGTAGTCAACGTTAGCCATCTGTCAGACGCTTGCTAGGCAACTTCGTGCTATGTTCATTCATTTTATGTTAACCAGGATGTTGTCATTACTACCTTCCTAGCTATGCCCCTTTACTAAGTAACGTTACCTATCTAGCTAGCTATACTGAACAAAAATATAAACGCACCATGTAAAGTGTTGGTCCCACGTTTCATAAGCTGAAATAAAAGATCCCAGACATATGCAGAAAAAGCTTATTTCGCTCAAATGTTGTGCACATTTGTTTACTTCCCTGTTAGTGAGTATTTCTCATTTGCCAAGATAATCCATCCACCTGACAGGTGTGGCATATCAAGAAGTTGATTAAACAGCATGATCATTACATAGGTGCACCTTGTGCTGCGGACAATAAAAGGCCACTCTAAAATGTATAGTTTTGTCACACAACACAATGCCACAGATGTATCAAGTTTTGAGGGAGCATGCAATTATCCTGCTGTCTGCAGGAATGTCCACCAGAGCTCTTGCCAGAGAAGTTAATGTTCATTTCTGTACCATAAGCCACCTCAACGTCGTTTTAGAGAATTTGGCAGTACTGTACGTCCAACCGGGCCTCACAACCGCAGACCATGTGTAACCACGCCAGCCCAGGACCTCCACATCCGGCTTCTTCACCTGCGGGATGGTCTGAGACAAGCTACCCGGACAGCTGATGAAACTGGGTTTGCGCATCTGAAAAATGTCTTCACAAACTGTCAGAAACCGTCTCAGGGAAGCTCATCTGTGTGCTCATCGTCCTTACCAGGGTCTTGACCTGAATGCAGTTCGGGGCCGTAACCGACTTCAGTGGGCAAATGCTCACTTGGAGAAGTATGCTCTTCATGGATGAATCCCTGTTTCAACTGTACCGGGCAGATGGCAGCGTGTATGGCATCGTGTGGGTGAGTGGTTTGCTGATGTCAACGTTGTGAACCCCATGGTGGTGGTGGGGTTATGGTACGGGCGGGCATAAGCTACGGACCACTAACACAATTGTATTTTATCGATGGCAATTTGAATACACAGAGATACCGTGACGAGATCCTGAGACCCATTGTGGTGCCATTCATCCGCCGCCATCACCTCATGTTTCAGCATGATAATGCACGACCCCATGTCGCAAGGATCTGTACACAATTCCTGGAAGCTGAAAATGTCCGAGTTCTTCCCAGGCCTGCATACTCACCAGACGTGTCACCCATTGAGCATGTTTTGGATGCTCTGGATCGACTTGTACGACAGTGTTCCAGTTCCCACCAGTATCCAAAAACTTCGCACAGCCATTGAAGAGGAGTCAGACAACATTCCACAGGCCACAATAAAAAGCCTGATCAAGTCTATGCGAAGGAGATGTGTTGCACTGCATGAGGCAAATGGTGGTCACACTAGATACTGACTGGTTTTCTGATCCACGCCCCTACCTTTTTTTTTTTATCTGTGACCAACAGATGCATATCTGTATTCCCAGTCGTGAAATCCATAGATTATGGCCTAATGATTTTATTTCGATTGACTGGTTTCCTTATATGAACAGTAACTCAGTAAAATCTAGGAAATTGTTGCATGTTGAGCTTTATATGTTTGTTCATTGTAGTAATGTAGCAAGATAATGTAACCAGTTGCCCTTCCCTGAGCTAGATAGATAGCTATCCGGTAAGCTGACTGGAAGTTTGCAGAAGATTGTTGAATTTTGCATCTAGTGCAATTGTAGAGAATTAAATATTCTCAGTTGCATTTCAAAGCAAAGGATTTCAGTAAATGTATGTAGCCATTCATTCATTTCGGTTATGGGTGACTATTCTCTCTCAAATTGGGTGTATTTGTGGCATTGGATATGCCTATAGCTAGCCTAATAGCTAACACTAACTTCAAGCTCTTCCTCTGACGTTCACACATCCATTATGACCCGCAGACGCTGCGACGGTGCTACAGCCGAGTGAAGGAGCACGGTGTCGGCAAGAGGAAGAGCAGCTACTCCATCGAGCAGCTGGAAAAGGTGTTTGGTCAGGGGGGATGGGACTCCCAGACGTGTGCCCCCGTCCTCATTAACAGCAGTGGCCTGTACCAGGAGATGGAGTCTGACGGCAGCACGATGGAGGACTTCTCCCAGGAAGACTGGTGCAACCAGGTGCTGGCCTCCGCCTTCCAGGAGGGAGAGATGGAAACTGGTGACTGGTGGTGATTTTATTGTGGTGTTGACAAATGTGGGCAATAGTGAAGTGGTCAGCAGACTTATTTTTGTTAAAGGGGTAGGTAGACTATCCAGGGTGCTGGTAGTTCTTATTAGGGGTAGTTACGGGACTGTGAAACGTTTGGAAGCCCTGTCGTTAGTATGCAGGCTATTCCTTCACTCTATGTCAAAATGAATACTGTAGGAGTTAGCTAATGTGTTCATATGCCTGTCAGGTATCATTTAATGTGTTATGTTGATGGAAAATACTGTTAATTTCTTCAGAGGTAACACAGCCACCAAAGAATGCCAGAGTCCTGCAGCTTCGACCTGAGCCTTTGGAGCAAGTCCAGTATGTATTTTTTCCATAGAATGAATGATCCCTGATAACACTACGTGTAATATTAGGATATAAGGCCAAAATAAATGCTTATTTTTTTACTGCCAAGATGTGATATATTTGAAAATGAAATCACTGACAGAGGCTTAGTTACTGCATCATTCAATGTCCAATCTTCATCAAAAAATTAAGCAGCTGTTCTCATTACCAATCCTCCATTGGTTCCAACCTCATCTTGACCGTTCATGTATTTCTGTCCCTGTCAGGAAACAGGAAGTAATGCAGAACGTGGTGCGCATCCTGGAGTCGGTGCATGTGAAGTGGGAGCACTTCCAGACGTGGACCGACTTCTCCCGGCTGCACCTTTCCAACAAGCTGGCCATTTTCGGCGTGGGCTACAACACGCGCTGGCGCGAGGACATCCGCTACCACTATGCAGAGATCAGCTCCCAGGTGCCCCTTGGCAAGCGGCTGCGCGAGTACTTCAACCCGGAGAAGGCAGAGGGCCGTGTCATCATGACCAAAGTGCAGAAGATGAACTGGAAGAACGTGTATTATAAGTTCCTGGACATCACCATTAGCGAGGCACGCTGTCTGGAACTGCACATGGAGGTGGACTGGATCCCCATAGCCCAGTCCAGGGTGACTGGCTGTAGCAATGGGACCTCCAAGTACCTCCTACCGGGGGGCATCCCCAAGACTTACGGCCTGTACGCCATAGGCTACGAGGAGGTGGCGGCGGAGTCGCACTACACAGGGGAGGATGAGGCCCCAGCCTCTCCACTGCAACACCAAGACACTGACCAGAGCTTGCCTCTCTCTGGGTCGTCAGGCTCCGGCGGGTCCGGGTCCGAGAGTGTGGTGAGGCCGGGGGGACGAGCAGGGGAGGGGGAGAGGACAGGGGCCAAAGTGACCTACTGCTACCTGGGCATCGCGGAGGAGAGGACCCTACAGCAGTGTCTGTTCCAGCACTTTCAGAGCTCAGGCAAGCACTACAGCCGCAGGGAGCTCTCGGCCGTCACACACTTCCTCCGGGGGAATTGCAGCGGCACCGGGCAGCAGACCAGGGAAGAGGGCCTCTCCTTGGGCCCTGAACGTTCGGCCATCTACATTAAATTTATCGAGGTGGAGCTAGATTTCCTCTCTGCTGGCTCACTGGTGGAATGTCTAGAAATTGCAGTTGGTTACTCCTTAAAGTACAATAACAAAGAGACGTTGTAACACTTGTTGTTTTGACTCCCATTGACTGAAGGATTGAAAGGGGGCCAGAGGGACATGCAATATCTCTTTCCCCCAATTTAACTGCAGACCTGAGTTCAAATGCTATTTGAAATATTTTCAAATACTTCAGCTGTGCTTGATTGAGCTTGGCTGGGTCAATGGAACCAAAAGAATAGTCACAACCACCCATCTGACACTCTAGGCAGGTGATAGCAAACACAAAACATATTTGAAAGATTTCAAATAGTGTTTGAACCCGGTCTGTGTACATGCTGTCTTATCAGGGGATGTGAGAGGGAATGGCTAGTGCTGGATGTATTTCCCTACCTCGAGGATATAGCAGTGGATATACAGTATATTTGTCGCAAGCAGATGGTGTGCGCTTGTTTAAAACTGCCTTTACATTTCTTTGAATTTGGATGTCTATCGTCAGGTCTAAGGTGCCAGAAAAAGATCCAGGGATAAAGATCATGTAAGGAACTTGAACCAGTTGAATAGAGGACCTGGAGGGGCAATATGAATGAATATATTGAATCTATCTCTATATAGAAATATATATTTAAGAATATATATTGATGTTGTTAAGCATTCCAGCATTTATTAACATTATGACATTCAAAGAAGTATGTTAATGTTTTGATATATATTATTGGTTAACCAGTGTCTTTGTGTATTTTTGTTTCCAGGTCACAGTCTTGTGTTTACATGTTTTGAAAACAATAAACGGGGCACTGACCGTCATTTGCCACTCACTGGATAGTTTTAGGTTCCAGTGTGCTCATTTGTAGGTGTTTATTCAAATTAGCTAGCTCCCTGTCTCTGCATACTGCTATCAAGTGATGACCTGTAGGTCCTATCCTTATCAACCTTCCTTGCAGGAGAGCCAATGCTTCATGCACCACTTCTGTCACCAGATGGCAGCAGATAGCCATAACTGAGAAGTTACCGGCATAGCGTTTCTTTTAGCACAAGTCAATGGTGAAAATACAGGTAAATGCCAAAATAATTGAAACACCTGAGTAAATGAGGGACACAAAGTATATTTTAAGCAGGTGCTTCCATACAGGTGTGGTTTCTGAGTTAAGTAAGCAATTAACATCCCATCATGCTTAGGGTCATGTATAAAAATGCTGGGCAGGCCATTATTTTGGCTACCATGGCCATGCTTGCATAGAATGACAATGCCCCCATCCACAGGGCATGAGTGGTCACAGTTTTATGAGCATGAAAACGATGTAAACCATATGCCATGGCCGTCTCAGTCAACAGATCTCAACCCAATTGAACACTTATGGGAGATTCTGGGGTGATGCCTTAGACAGCACTTTCCACCACCATCAACAAAACACCAATTTATGGAATTTCTCATGGAAGAATGGCGTTGCAACCCTCCAACAGACTGTTTACACAGGCAGCCCAATTCTGATCTTTTTCCACTAGTTGGTCTTTTGATCAATCACATCAGATCTATTCACATCAGCTCTTTTTCAGCACTGATCTGATTGGTCAAAAGACCAATTCGTGAAAAAAATCAAAATTGTCTGACTGTGTAAATGCAGCCATAGAGTTCCAGATACTTGTAGAATCTATGCCAAGGTGCATTTAAGCTGTTCTGGCTCGTTGTGGCCAACACCCTATTAAGACACTTTATGTTGGTGTTATCTTTATTTTAGCAGTTCCCTGTACTTTCAGAATCTGAAAAATAACATGACATTTTATTGCAGATATTTGTTTATTTTGAAGACATAACTTTCCCAGAGGGGTATACTACAAAGCAAGATCAATGACATGTAACTTGAAGAAATATTCTGAAATAACTATATTTTTTTGAAAGATGAGCTTGAAATGTGCATGGTCTAATTGACTCAATAACCAAAAACACATATCTAAGTTTAGCTTTAGTCAATAGTTATTTATGGTTTTATCAAAGTTAGCCGGCTAACTCATTGATCCTGCTTTTTAGTATACCCACCCCTCTGGTAGATAATGTCAATCCCTCATTCTGTAATGACAAAAGGCTTCTGAAATGTTTGTTTTCACTGCATGCCTACCACTAATGCATATGACTATTGGCTACGTTACGTGTCTGATTATTACCATGATCTCTAGAGAAATTGTGTGAATACTAGGCTGTCAAGTGTGTGTCTGTGTTTATGTATGCAAGCATGTAAAGCTTCAACTGTTCATCTTACTGCCTATCAGTGATTATGCACTTCTTACAGGATATACAATACGTTGTGCACAGGACAAGAGGGGAAATATGACAGGTAGGCCACTATATTGATACTATCAACCTTATTTTAGCATTGTTGTCCAAGATTTTAGGTGCATATTCATTAATACTTTTGTATGTTTCTTCAGGAAAATGTGGTGAATTCAACAAAGGGCCTTCCTAAATGGCAGACATTGGAGGATGCATGTGCTTTGAATCAAAGCTGCTGCTGGTCAATGATTAACTCACCATGTGTCCAACTTCATCAGCTTTGAGGTTTAGTCAAGGTAGGTCAAGGATCATTGTTTGTGTCAGTTGGAATACTACCACAATAAAACTACCCATAAGTACTGGTTCACATTGGGGTTTGATGGAACTAGGCAATGGATAAAATTCCCTGTCAGTGTGTTCATTAAATCTTTGAAAACACTCAGACCATTGCTATTGCATGATATAGGCTACCTAGTGAACATATGTGTTTACCTCTTCTTTACCTTTAGCGAAGATGCTTAGTTTTCTGTTGCCTCTTCGGGCTGGTAGCGGATGTTTCGACCTCCTTTGTATTTAACTTCAATGCACCTTGGCTTCTTGACAGGCTGCTGGCCCTGCCTTTGGCAGGAAGCCATGTCTGTATGCGTTTTGAGGTTAAGGGGAGCAGACATTTGCTCAGGGGTAGCCTAACAATGCCACACTGTCCCATAGTCGTCCATTTCAGGCCACAACATTTGAATGTCCCAATTCTGAACAATGATATCTAGAACAATGATATATTTTTTAGGAACTCTGTCAGGGTCTCAACTTATTGTGAGAGTTAAAATAGTAGAATACACAAGGTGCAATTTCAGAATGTGGTTGTGTATCAGCAGTTTGTCTCTTGTTATGTCAGTCACACCCTTAGCGGCTTTGGGAGAAAGTGGATGTTTCTAGTTTTCAGGGATACAGTATTTACAACCTAACTTCTGTTTCCCCTAGAAAAACAGAAGTAGGGACCACTGGAGGTTGGTGGCACCTTAATTGGGAGGACGGGCTCGTGGTAATGTAACATAGAACATGGTTTGATGCCATTCCATTGGATTTTTCTTTTGTCTGACTTTCTTTATTGTCACATAATGATTGCTGAATAATTTTGAATGTATGCAGGGCACTTGATGTCATTACATAACTATAAAGCTGCACTCTACATTTCATTCTAAATGCCTAGGCCTACTGCTTGCAAAATAAAAAATGTAAACTATAAAAACAAATGTTTCTTTGCAGGACAAGGATTGTCCTGACTTTCAAGAATGCCTGATTTGCTTCGCCTTGCTTTTCTGGTTGGCTGGCAAGTTTCACCATACAATTATTTCAACATATGGACTGTGGCAATATGTTGGCATATGAGAATTATTACAATATAGAAAATATTTGTCAATTATTGCATTCTATCTACAGTGAGGGGAAAAAAGTATTTGATCCCCTGCTGATTTTGTATGTTTGCCCACTGACAAAGCCATGATCAGTCTATAATTTTAATGGTAGGTTTATTTGAACAGTGAGAGACAGAATAACAACAACAAAATCCAGAAAAACGCATGTCAAAAATGTTATTAATTGATTTGCATTTTAATGAGGGAAATAAGTATTTGACCCCTCTACAAAACATGACTTAGTACTTGGTGGCAAAACCCTTGTTGGCAATCACAGAGGTCAGACGTTTCTTGTAGTCGGCCACCAGGTTTGCACACATCTCAGTAGGGATTTTGTCCCACTCCTCTTTGCAGATCTTCTCCAAGTCATTAAGGTTTCGAGGCTGACGTTTGGCAACTCGAACCTTCAGCTCCCTCCACAGATATTCTATGGGATTAAGGTCTGGAGACTGTGCCTCTTCTTGAGCCACTCCTTTGTTGCCTTGGCCGTGTGTTTTGGGTCATTGTCATGCTGGAATACCCATCCACGACCCATTTTCAATGCCCTGGCTGAGGGAAGGAGGTTCTCACCCAAGATTTGACGGTACATGGCCCCGTCCATCGTCCCTTTGATGCAGTGAAGTTGTTCTGTCCCCTTAGCAGAAAAACACCCCCAAAGCATAATGTTTCCACCTCCATGTTTGACAGTGGGGATGGTGTTCTTGGGGTCATAGGCAGCATTCCTCCTCCTCCAAACACGGCGAGTTGAGTTGATTCCAAAGAGCTCGATTTTGGTCTCATCTGACCACCACTTTCACCCAGTTCTCCTCTGAATCATTCAGATGTTCATTGGCAAACTTCAGACGGGCCTGTATATGTGCTTTCTTGAGCAGGGGGACCTTGCGGGCGCTGCAGGATTTCAGTCCTTCACGGCGTAGTGTGTTACCAATTGCTTTCTTGGTGACTATGGTCCCAGCTGCCTTGAGATCATTGACAAGATCCTCCCGTGTAGTTCTGGGCTGATTCCTCACCGTTCTCATGATCATTGCAACTCCACAAGGGGAGATCTTGCAAGGAGCCCCAGGCTGAGGGAGATTGACAGTTCTTTTGTGTTTCTTCCATTTGCGAATAATCGCACCAACTGTTGTCACCTTCTCTCCAAGCTGCTTGGCGATGGTCTTGTAGCCCATTCCAGCCTTGTGTAGGTCTACAATCTTGTCCCTGACATCCTTGGAGAGCTCTTTGGTCTTGGCCATGGTGGAGAGTTTGGAATCTGATTGATTGATTGCTTCTGTGGACAGGTGTCTTTTATACAGGTAACAAACTGAGATTAGGAGCACTCCCTTTAAGAGTGTGCTCCTAATCTCAGCTCATTACCTGTATAAAAGACACCTGGGAGCCAG